TGCCATTTGCAGGCTCAACAACAATTTACTTCTTCACTTAAATCTGTTGGAGACAGCCTGGGGACCATGAGTAGATTTAGGGTTAAGATATTCATTACTGTTTAGGCTCTGATTCCTGGATACGCTCCTCTGTGCCTGAGGAAATGCTTGGTTCAAGTCCCTTTCACACTCTCCCAGCAAAGAGCTTTTTAAAGAAGTCTACTATCCATCTCCTTCTGATACTGTCATAATTTATTAAGTAATATATTACATGTTACATATAATATGCTGTACACATAGCATGTATTGTATGCTATATGTGTGTAGTAATATACATATTATATGCTGTATAAAATAATATATGCTATCTAATATATATTACATGTATTATATAATATGAGTTACTAGAAAAACAAAAAAAACCCTCCAAAACAAAGACTTACAAATCTAGATTCAGTGGTCAAAACATTACTCCACCAGGTTATAAAATTCCTAGCATTTGCTCTGTTTCTGTTCACATTTATTCTTCCTGTGGACAAGTTACAGTGCTGGTGGACTGGTGGTGGCCTGCTGTCTACCTTCTGAGTAGATGACACTGATTTATAACTGCAGTCATCTTCCTTTGGGTCACTCTATGACACGTCTCCTGTATTTCACAGATCACAACACAGGATCCAAGGGACCTAGGGGTACAAGGATGTGCAGGTAATGGAGCTGGAATTAAGCCCAAGACTGGAGGCTCCCCCACAGGGCCTCTCTCATGATTAGGGAAAAGTGTTCCTTCCCCGAGCTGGCTGGCTCTGCCTTTGCTCCACACACTGTGTATGACACTGATACCGCCTGAACCATGGGACGATGTGGCCCAGTTCAAACACAGCTGTGCCCTCCCTGCCTCCCTGTGTCAGCCTGAAAGGGCTTTCTGGAGCAAGGAAGTGGAGACTAAGCCTCTCTTCATTACTTTACTGTGCATTTTCACAAAATAGCAGCTGAAGGTGAGCAAAATTCAAATTGGTGGAAGTTAGACATTTTTAGTATAAATTCATGCTTGAGCTTTGGTATACTTGTTACTTAATTACTGTCTCAGACTATTATTAGATATTTCCTTATATAGTCAGTCAAGCAACAGGAATTGATCACAGCACTGAAAAATAAATTAATATTTAACGATCTCAAAAATACTTGTGCATATATTCCTATTATCCTTGCTGCTTCAACCTCTGCACTTCTATCATAACTTCTTGGTATTGGCTTAGTGTATAAATTAAATGAAATTTTAAAAGATATAGGCAGCGAAAGTAGACTGGGGACATCTCCTTAATACAGCAATCATTCACACCAAAATTACTTGATATTAATTTTAAACATGTTTGTAGCTCTGGAGCCAAACTATTAAAGTCCTGAAAGTTGTGATGGGGGCCAAAAGGATGGACATCTTGGTTTTGTTCTCTTCCATGGCCAATTGTTACCTGTGGTCAAAGGAAATGTCTCACTGCTCACACAGAATGCCATGAAAAGAATTTAAATGGAGAAGTCACTTCTAACCGCTGCAAAACTACTCTGAGCCAAGTAGGGCCTGATTTATTCTTTAAGGAATTACATGAGAGGAAGGAAACAGCAATCACCCTCTTGAAGATTTAAATGCAGTAATAAATGTGTCAGTTTGCTTTCTCAGTACATTATACACATTAGTATCTCAAAGGACTGAGTGAGTCAATTTAAAGTAAAAGCTGCCAAACATGTATTTTTTTTGTATTTAACTTATCACTATCATCTATTGTTATGAACACATTGTATGCTAGGCCATTGCTAAGAGCACCGGGTGCATAATCACGTTAACTGTCCACTGCAGCCCTTGAAGTTGATGCATTGTTTTTCCAGTGAGGGATCTGAGGCTTTGGAGCACTTGAGCAGCTTTTCTGGAATGTGTTAGGAAACAAGGGGAGAACCGTGGCACCTCACGTTTTGTGCACCTCGAATCTGAGAGCTTATCGGAGACAAAACCTAAGTTCCATTTAGTATCTGCATTTTTAAAAGATCCCAGACAATTCGATAGAACTAAAGTTTGAGAAATATTGCTTTATTTTGTAGAGTTTGTGCTTGTAATCCCTGCACATTCTTGCCTCCTGAGGAAGTCTAAAATAACCTCCTGAAGAGACTTCACAGGACCTGCTGTGATTTTAGGAAGATTCAAAAATTTCTTTTTTCTGATTCTAGTCTTGTTCTATAGATTTCAAATTTGTTAATTCTGTGTTTTCTGCTTTTTGGCTAAGCAATCTGAGGTCTAATTTTAGAAGAGGCTATTCTTTCTTCTCCAATGTATCTGTGCTCACTGGATTTTAAAAATGTTCTAGTTTCATAGCTTCTTGTTATCCAGGGCATAGGAAAAAGGTCACATGACAGTGCTCACCGTGCAAAGGTTGAACTGTGCTGGAGAATTGCAATATCCATTTATTCATGAGGCCTCTGCCTTCTGCAAATAGGACTTCCGTTAGGTGATGGATAATTATTACTTCTGTCTATTCTCTTAGATATTAAAGTATTAAATACACTGTAGTCAAATGCATTTAAATTAAAATATAAAAAGCATCTTTTTTGTATGAAGCATTTTATATGTTCCTGTTAAGGACTTAACCTTTAAACAGAAGCCACTGTGTTTAAAAAGTAAAAGTTAAATACCAAGAAACATGAAATACCAAAAGTTTCAGAGAAGATAGTTGCACATAAGTTTGGAAAATGGACAAGAAGGGATAAGACTGAATCAATGGCTCTAGAATCATGTGGAGGGCTTTTAAATGCAAAGTGAAGCTTGCTACTTGCATATTTGTTGATTAGAAGGCTTGTGATACAGGACCTGAGAACTTGGATCTGTAATGATTTTCTGGATACTGATGATGAAGTCCTCTGGACCAATGAATACAGTTTAAGAAACAACGGACTAGATTTTTAGGAGATAAATTGGAAATCTTTTGCGTTTGCCTATGCAGTATATAGTATGAAACTATACTGATGAGAGAGGAGGGATGGCTTTTAAAGTTACAGAGGAGTTATCATCGACTTGATAGCAGAGCAGAATATGCAGATGAGGGAGAGGTGAGAGTCTAGGTTGATTCCTGTTTCTGGCTTGCTGTATGGATGGAGAATGATGGTACCTTCACCTCAGTATAGGGAGTGAAAGAGAAGAAGCCAGCTGGACACTTTCAGGTGGGACTGATAAGAATTTGGTTTTAGGCATAGCAAATGAAGATTGATGTGGGTAATTTAAGTGGAGATAGCTTTTAGGAAAGTAGGAGACAGCTGAGTTGAAGATGTAGGCATGTATATCCATATGGGAGAAATTATAGGTCATAAAGACAGCAAGGTGCAGAAAATAGGACTCTGAGACATGCCAGTGTAAGGTGAGTAAAGAATAATTCACTTCTCAAAGGGCTGGGAAGAGCTGGCAGGAGCTCTGAAGTGAGAGTTTCTATGAGGGCGTGACCAGCATGTCAACACTCCAGGAAGTCAAGTGATATATGCACTCCAGTGTGCTCCTTGCATTTTGGACTGAAAGATGATAGGAAACATAGTAAAAAGCAGTTCTGTCAAACAGCACAGATGGGACCCAGATTGCATTTATCTGAAGTTAGAAACCATCTTTCAGGATGGAGTATATATGCAGTCTGAGTTCATTGTTTTAGATTTCTATTTTTTTTTTCAGCTCTGAAAAAGAGAATGCTATTGTTATAAATGCTTCACTGAGCTAACTGGAGCATAGTCCAATTGAAAGCTAAATTTTCTATGTGAAATCTACTAAGTTTCTTAGAGAGAAAATTTAAAATCAAATTTAACACATAAATTCCTCCCCTACACCCAGCAGCGCCTCTCGTGAGATATTGTCCCTTGCCCCTGGAAACTTCAGAAACAACCAGAGAGATTTTATGATTGGTCCTTCTACAAGTATTTCATTTTATTCCCCTCCTTCCTGCTGGGGGTGGTGCTCTGAAGGCTCCTATTGCTATTAAGAATATTATTTTACTCTGTGACTTTGTGTGACAGCTGGGTATGATTATTTTTTTGGTGTCCTGGTTGACCTAGTTTACACCAAAAAAGAAAAACAAGGTCCACAGAGGTGATAGTTGTTATGGCAGCTGTCACTTCTGGTAATTTGACCATAACCACTTTTCTTTCCTTTTCCTCCAATGTTTTTCTAAATAGATTTAAAACAAAACATAGAGAGTAAATAGAAATTGCTGTCCTCCAAGGATCAGGACCTGGGATAAGAGTTTCATAAACAGGATTTATTAGTGGCATGTTGGTGTCTGCAGAACATGGTTTAAATGTAACTGTTCTATAGCAGCGTGCCTACTTCTGTCCCCGGAAGCCTCCGGGAGTGTGTGCACTGACCGCTGCAGACTCTGGGCAGCCAGATTTGGGATTAAGCTGATGCAGTCCTTTCAATTTGATGTTTGTATCCCTTTATTAATTAGTTGGAAAGTTCTCCACCAAATGTGGGTCAAATGCAGAACACAAGGAACTGCCAGTAAAATAGCCAACCTTCTAAATGACCCAAATAAAAGCACATTTCTCTTGTATGGTACAACTGATCTGACCTAACAGATTCTTCCTGTGCATATATTTTTATGTTTCCCTTTACTCATTGACCAAGTGTTCAAAGGTCCATGCTAAAAAAAAAAAAGCACTTTTTAAATCATGGGCTGCATGATCAGATGCATAATTGTTATTTCATAGCGACCAGACACACTTCCTAAGCTATTAGAAATTTTACTGGTTGCCAGATAAAACTCTTATAAGATTAAAAAAGTACATGACATTGAGATTGGTGGTGAATACTGGAAGAAAGATACTAGATTTTTAAGATTATTTTAGATAACCCAAAGTTCTTGTTAAATATTAAAAATAGTGTTTTGAATACTTTAATGACACAAGTATTTTCTTTTATGTTTTTCATTTAGAATTTTAAAAAATCTGCTTATGTACACTGGATTTAAACTTAACATTTCCCCCTTTTCTTTCTGGAACAGGTTGTCAAGTTATTAAGCAACAAAAGATCCCAAGCAGTTGGAATATTAATGTCTAGCCTTCACTTAGATATGAAAGACATACAACATGGTAAGTGGAAAAATACCACTTTTGAATGTTAAAATTTGGACAGGAGGATATTATGTTTAGTGGTAAAAAGTATTTTAAACTTACCTGTGTATACTGTGATTAGTATTATTTCCCATAAGTGCTACCAAACTTTCTCTAGTCATTGTTTCTGGAAAAGTTACTATAGATTGGAGTTTTCTTTCTTGTTATGTCTTGGTAAAGGACAGAGTACCAAATACTGGGTGACTTTTAAACCATAAACATTGATTCTTTCTAAACGAGGCTGGCAGTCTAAGATCAGAGTGCTAGCATGGATGGGTTTTGGTGAGGATCCTCTTTTTGGCTGTAGACTGCCATGTATTGGCATGTGGCAGAAAGAGGGCAAGAGACCTTTCATGTGTCTCCTACTAAGAGCATCAGTTCCACTCATGAGGGCTCCCCTCTCAAGAACTAATCACCTTTCAGAGACCCACCTCTGCGGCTATTACTTTGGCGGGGGGGGGGGGGTCAGGATTATATCATATAAACTATGGGGGAAGCACAAATGTGCAGGCCACTGCAGATATATTTAATCTGCTATGAATAAATATTTAAATTTTATATTATAAATTATAATAATCCCACTGTGCTCTGTAACTTTTAAAAACCCTATACAAAGTGTTTACTTGTGGATATTGCACTCAGAATTACTGATAAATATTAGCATGAGCCAGATGGTACGGTATCTCAGCCATGGAATATAGTGTAAAAATGATTCTCCATGGGAAAGAAAGGTTGGGTGAGCCTTGAGTCACAGGTGTTTGATGAACTAGTATAGACAAGAGATAATAACTTAAAATGATTGATTTAACCAGTGTGAGAGTTACAGGGAAGCCTGTTTCAATTGTTGGTTTAAGAATATTGTTATGGTTGGAGATTGCAAATAATGAACTAGATTGCTATGTTTAGTGATGAGTTGAAAACAAGTCTTCAAGAGGCTGAATCACCATTTATTTATCTCAGATGTCTTGAAGGCATTCTTTTAGTCTTCATGTTTCAAGATACTAAAAAATTAAAACAAATTTATTATATTTAACTCTTTAGGGTGGAAAACTGGTCCCTTTTCTTCCAGTTATTTGGAACAACTATATAGTGCAAACCTCTGAGATTTTCTGCTATAGAAGGATTGAAGTATCTTTTCTAATGACCACCAAAGATGATTTCAGATTGTTTTCACCAGTTTTGTTATTGATGGTGTCCAGATGCATGGATGCATTAATAGCGCGATCTTTCATTATTTCTTTAATGTGGTTGTTTTAACTTATGTTTTTAAATAGGCTTAAAACATATTTTGGAGCTAGGGTGGTTTCTAACATTTTCTAAATGGATTTAGTGTCAATATTTTAATACTTGAATTCTACCCTACAGTTGACAGAAATTCCTATGCCACTTCCTCTCATCACATCTATGCTGAGAAATATTGCTCAAAGGTGCACAGTGGAATTAAATTTATATTCTGAATGTCCCTCAAGATGCCTAGAGCCTTAGAATAGATTTAAAGCAGATTGAATTATCCAATGGAATGCCAGTCTACCTATTAAAGAAATATGGTTTCAAGTATAATACAGACCTTATAAATCATGAAAACATTTAACTGGCTTTCTGGCTTCCCCCTTTATGAATGTGGATTTTATTTATTAGGCCAAAAATATTATGTGGAATAATTCATAAATAGCACAAAACTGGTATGCCCTGTCAATTGGTGAGTAACTCTTAATCACAATGTAAGTTTTTATTAAATTGTTTTGATGGTGAGGAGACTTCCTCAAGCTGAAACATTTCGGGTAATAGTCATAGAAGAGAATGCCAAGCCTGGCGCCAAGAAGTACTTGGTGTTTCTAACACTGGCAGATGTAGCCCAGTTAAGTCATAGAGTGAAATCTGAAAATAATGATATGGTCCTTTCCTTCAGTCAAATATTCAGCTCGGGTTGAGCTAATAATGAGAACCTTATGAACAAAGGAGTCCGCCTGACAGCTGTGTCTGTGGTACAGCCAGCGAGAGTTCATTGAAAATTTGCTTGCTTAACATGCAACGCGAACAAGAACATGGCATGAGTGTCAGACGTTAGAGGGTCACACAGAATTATGCATAAACTTTATCCTATTAGGATGTGAAATGATTGCCTGAGTCCCTTTGAAACTGTGCACCATTTTCTACAAAGCAGCTGCCTTCAAAGTCTGCAGAAGCAAGTGGTTGTAATTTCTGTGGACAGAGTCCTGTTCTGCCTCAGCGCATGGTCTGGAGCCATGATTTCCATGTGGGTCTCACTTGTGGCCTCCAGAGTAGACTTTACTTCTCGTAGATTGTGCCTCCATGGCAAAACCCACAGAAGCATAAACACCATTGATTTGGCAGCCACAGCATGCATCCAGACTGCCAGTGTCATTTTATAGAAGAGCACATTAAGAACTGCCCGGGCTTCAGTATCTTTCTCAGCGTGGTGCCTCTCATGAATAGGACAGACTGAACTTGAGCTTGGGTCTCTTTGATAAGTGGACCTGTTCTGTGCCCCTTGCCCAAGGTCCTGCTTTTCTTATGACCACCTCCACTATCTCTAAAATCAAGTATGTATGTTGTTCTCCTGAGTTATTCCAGAAATGGCGTGCCACACTTTGACCTTTGTTCAGTCTTCATGGATCAGTTGAGATAGATTCACTGTTGCATTCCAGAGTTTCCCACCTCACTGTAACTTCTCCACACACAAAGTTATTGTCTGGAGGGCACCTCTTTTATGTTTGCTGCATCTGTTTTTTTCTTCTTTCTGGCTAACCTCCAGAAGAACCTATAGTTGAGTTTCAAATGTCTTTTGGAGTGATGAATATATAAAGCTGGGGTTCTAGGTGTCAAAGGTTCAAATCATCTACACCTCTCAAATGAAGAATCTAACTGAAAGTGACTTCCAGAAGGAATTTGAATTTTTTGGTTCTAGGACCTGGGGACACTCTACATCACCTTTCCTGAAACTCCAGGGACTCTTCCGGAGGTACTAACTGCTCTTCGGCTGCGTGGATTAGTTTCTAGGAGTCTGGAGTCTGTAGCCCTTTGATACCAGTTTATTGTGGGGAAGATCTCAATCCCTACTTTGGTGGACTCTAGGTTTTCATATTTGGCCTCTGGCTTCCTGAAACTGTCAAAAGAAAGTGCAGATTTGTGGGGACAGGCAAGAAGTCTAAGGACAAAAATACAACTGAGCTAGCTCACTTGTCCCTGTTCTTGTCTTCCCTTTTATGGGGCATGATGATCCCTTACTATGGTTTTTAGCTCTTTGGTGCTTTTATGATAATTTGCAAATATATCTTAGCTAGCAGTTGTAGTGGTAATGAGTGGAAGCAATGATTTGATGATGTAGTCTGTTACTTGTAGAAATTGATTTTATGTGTGTGTCCTATAGCTTTACAATGGTAGTTTTATTTGGGGAAATGCATTGGAATTTTTTATACAGAATTCAGCCCACATTTCAGGAATCAATGTGGTATTCACAGAGTTTAAATTCATCTTTTTAGATAATAGGAGCTGTGAAACAATTTCAAATTCTGTAAGGCTCAGCTTTATCTTCTACCCTGAGTGTTTGTATAATTTAACATCCTAAATGGGATACTTTTTAGAGACTGCACAGGTGCTGTTAACAATGTCACCTTTATAACAAGTGTAAAAAGGAAATTTTGCAGGTACATCAGTACAGTGGTCTCTATACTACCAGATCAAACTAAATCAAGTTTCAGATCTAATCTTTTCTCATAACATCAGTATTTACTAAACAGATATGTATTGATCACTAAGAATTAAACTGTTTAAAAACCTGCTTTGTAAAGTTGAGATTCTTGGCCCTCTGTCTTTATGGGTACTCAAAGCCACAATTTTATCTGAAAGATTTGCTCCAGAAAGATGCACACACATCCCAGAGGGAGGAATCTCTTAATTTTTTATTTTGGACAAGGTATACAGAATTCCAACTCAACCCATGCGTGAATGCAGTACTGTTTAGGTCCTGTTTAGGTGCTAAGCCTCAGGCAGCTTCCTGAAGATCCAGGCTGTAACCTTTACTAGATTCTCTGTCTGTCTGTCTGTCTGTGTATCTACCTACCTACCTGTCCATTGATTCTGATTCTTATGACTATCTGTGCAAAGATGGTATGGATGGAGTGTCTCTAAGAGATCTTTACTAGTTTCACAGATGACAGCTGACTTTATACATTAGTATGCTATTGAAAAAGCCTCTATCATTGATTTAGATTGGAATAGCTGAGCAGTTCGCATTAGCTGCCCCTGATGTACAGTGTCCTGACACAGTGCTGGGCAGCTGGCTATGCTGGACAGCTGACCTCTCTCACATTGAAGTTTCAAGTGGTTTGTGCATACTGATCCATCTTTTCTGAAAACATGTTTTAAGGTAGGCTATAGATACTATAATGAGGGATACATAATATGTATTATATGACCCATTCATAGAAATAAACTTCTATGTCCTGAAGGAGTAGCTAGCCCAGTGTATCAATGGCCCTGGTTCTTATCTATATTTCATCTCTGCCCTGTCTGTAGTGAACTGAATCTTGGACCTAAGGGTAATAATGTCCTAATTGAAATTCATGCCCTTTTAAAGTATGACTTACCAAAATTATGTTTCTTTAAGTTGAGTGGATATAAACTAACAAGCATTTTATCAAAATATAACTTATATAGTCAATAAAATTATAGATTTTTAAATTCTTTGCTCTATGCTTAATGATTGATTTTTCAAACACATTTTCCCACCAGGCCTTACACATTATGTCCTACAAACATGCACTACTACAAAAACTTAAAGAATATATACATGCATATGTTTAATCATACCTTATAGGAACAATATATATGCTCATGAATTTAAATCAAATTCCAGTGAAATCTCAGACCATTAATTGCTATTCATTGAAAACTCAGTGAAGCTGCTCTTCTGCTTATTTGTCTTGGTCTCTTTCAAAGAACTAGAATCATTATCT